ATTAGTCAAACAACTTTATCAACTACTATTAACACAGAAAATCAGCCCCTTGACCCATTTCTTCTTTGACGTGGCATCGTCTAGTTGGCTGGGCATCTGCACTATGCAAATTACTTCGCACCAGATTACAACCGCAAAGACATATGTGGATTCTTCCTTGTCCGTTTTGTCAAATAGTGACAAAGTGAATCAAACACCAATGTAAAGAAAGAGTCTTTGAAGTTAGCCCCTAGGTTTTTCCTTCATTTCGATGCCGGAATTTGCTCATCTCTGTTCCAGCAAGCTTCCTTCACCAAGCAGAGCCATGGAAGATTGCTCAGTCCGAAGGTAACCCATCTCAATTCACAAGGTACAAGGAGGCTTGAATTTGTAATGGTAATTGATCTGTGCTCAACAAAATTCTATCTTTAACTTGAGCCATCTTACAATCTACAAGATTATCAATTTTGGATCTGACTAAAGATTCGAGCTTTTTGTATTAATCTCAACTGTAATGTTGGTTCTATGCTATGATTCTTAGAGCTGTTGGTATTTGAATTATGGGTTTTCTTATTTGGTGCTGGAAATTAGTAGTTGAAATTGAAAGTTCTGGTCTTTTGGGGTTAAGAGTCAGCAATTGGGTACTAGGGTAGAGCCGTCAGAGTAATATTGGGTTAGTTTGGGAATTGCCACCATGGATGGTGCTGGGGCATCTTCTGAATCTGGGTCTGCTGCGTCAAGTCTGAAATCTATGGAAAATGGGTGTTCTGGCAAGGATGATGGGTGCCCAAAGCAAGTGTCGCCTCTTAGAGGTGGTGGGTCGAGGAATACGAGTCCTTTGGGTTGTGTAAGATCAAGAAACACTAGCCCTTCGAGGCAGAAGGTAGTTAAGACAAAACCGCGAGGGCTAGATGAGGAAACGGCTTCTACTTTTGGTAAAGCAATTCATCCTGATGTTCAAATGGAGGATAATATATGGGCAATGTTGCCAGAGGACTTGTTGAATGAGATATTAGCTAGGGTTCCCCCATTTATGATATTTAGGCTCCGGTGTGTTTGTAAACGGTGGAATACAATTCTACAAGATAGAAGTTTTCTTAAGTTCCACTCGCAAGTGCCGTCTCACGGGCCTTGTCTTCTCACATTCTGGAAGAACTCTCAGACCCCACAATGCTCAGTCTTCAGCTTACCATTAAAAACATGGTACAGAATTCCGTTCACATTTTTGCCACAGTGGGCATTCTGGTTGGTGGGCTCTTCTGCTGGTCTAGTTTGCTTTTCTGGGCTTGATGGCTTAAGTTTTAAAACCTTGGTTTGTAACCCTCTTACACAAACTTGGAGGACATTGCCAAGTATGCATTATAATCAGCAAAGGCAGCTGATAATGGTTGTTGATAAGAAGGACCGGTCATTTAAAATTATAGCCACTAGTGATATTTATGGTGACAACAAGTCGTTGCCCACTGAAGTGTATGATTCAAAGCTAAATAGTTGGTCAATTCACCAGATAATGCCTGCAGTTAATCTTTGCTCCTCAAAGATGGCATATTGCGACTCCAGACTATATTTGGAAACCCTTTCTCCACTTGGCCTAATGATGTACCGGTTGGACACAGGATACTGGGAACACATTCCAGCTAAGTTCCCACGGTCTCTATTGGATGGTTATTTGGTAGCTGGCACCCGGAAGCGTCTGTTTCTAGTTGGAAGGATTGGTCTTTATAGTACTCTTCAGAGTATGAGAATATGGGAATTGGATCATACAAAATTTATATGGGTGGAGATTAGCAGGATGCCTCCGAAGTATTTTCGATCTTTGTTAAGGTTATCAGCTGAGAGATTCGAGTGCTCTGGACAGGATAACTTGATTTGCTTCACATCTTGGAACCAAGGGAAGGGCCTTCTCTATGACGTGGATAAGAAGGCGTGGTCCTGGATTGCAGGCTGTGCTCTTCAGTCGTACAACAGCCAGGTTTGTTTCTATGAGCCGAGATTTGATGCTTCCATCTACTGAGAAGAAAGTTTTGCTTTGCAGTTCTTGTTTTATTTACTAGCCAGAGAATTATCAGTGGACATCATCTCCAGTTAGCATTTTGCCCTTGATCCATTCTTTGCTTCTTCTCCATATGGTGCTGAAGGGATTTGACACGGGGCTTGGTGGCTAATCATGTGAGTTTGAGGGATGCGTGGATTTGGCAATATGAGTGCATCCCAGAAAACCAATTTTTGTCATTGAGATTTTGTAGACTTTAATTGGTGATATTACCTCATATTAGGTCTCTGTGATGCCTAATGATTGAGCAAAGGCTTTAGTTGGAGACAAAGGCTGGTGGGAAGAACTGTAAGAAGGCAATTTTTTCCAAATCTTGTACACATTTTGAAACTATTAACACATCCAACCTGTACATTTAAAAGTTTACTGTGCCTTGCCAATTTTATTAAGTCATTATCTGAGAATTTATTTGATATGCTATTTGCTCTTGACCCAAGGTCGCATCACAAGCTGCAATTTGTTACTGGAGATGTGTAAATATGGTGGTGTCTTTTGCTTGGTGATATAAGTTTTTTCCTTTGATCATTAGCATTTCCCCAGGCTAAAGTCTTAGGAATTTTCTTCATTTCAGCCAGATTAGATTCATTACACAGTTTTGGAGTTCTGAAGCTTTTGATTTTTCAATAGATAACCTTTGCTAGTCTACTAGTTACTTCATCGAAGTGAGTAAAGTTGCTGTGGGAGTAGGGGCTTGTTGCAGTGCACTCCTCAGTCCAATCTCTATGGTTGTGGTTGTGCTGGCTGGCCCGGACAGGGTGACATCTCAAAAAAAAAAAACTTACCTATACCAGGGCTTGAAGGAGATTCCTCAACCTTAGCTTAGCAAAATGGACCCTTCGCTTTCAAATGGTTAAAGGTTCAATCCAAGTCCTGTGGCCTTTGCAGCTCTCAACTTAGCAACATGTGGCTTTTGCTTTGGAATGGTTTTGATAGGCCTAGGGAAAAGATTTCCTCTGCCATAAAAAAAAAAATATTTTTTTTTAAAAAGGAGAAAAAGAAAATGTTGTTCATGTGTATATGATGTGCCAACCCCCCCACTCTCCCAAAAAAAAACCCCAAAAAAAAAAAACGCTAACTAAAGGGAATCTTTTTCAGATGGATCCCTTGTAGCATATACACAAACACAAGCATGTGACATGCATATACAACTTCCTAAACCTCAAAAGCTTCACTTCACTTGGTACATATATACCTGGATCCAAATTTTAATTGGTCTTATTCGGATAACCATCAAAACAAATTGTGGAGACAAGACAATTTTGGTAACAGGAGCCGGCTTTCTCCATGTCCATGTGTCCATTTCTCCATGTCCAAGGGTTTTGGTTACTCTGTTCAAAAGCTTGCGATGAGAATTGTAGTTTTAGAAGGTGATAATTAAGGCAATATTTGCTAAATATATATGTGCTACGCTGGCCAGTATAAAAATGTGTCTGGGACCGACTTGCATAGAAATGACACATGTTAACACATTTCTCAAGGTGAAAGCACTAGCATATAGTTGGAGGTCACGCCCTCGTGTTCTAAAATTGCTACTCACACAAACACACTCAGGAACTCTAACCCCCCTTGTTTGTTTAATTGGTTAAAAGCTGAAATGTTTTGAGTAATTCTATGTGAAATCACTTGTAAATGTCCTGCAGGCTCTTAATTTGATGCATTCTCGCGATGCTCTTCATGCCTCGAAAACAACTATCCCTTGCATGCTAAGTTCTAACCCTCTCCTTATAGTAAGTATCGAAAATAGATATGTCAAATTATCACGTGATTATAAAATAATAAAAAATAAAAAGAAAAAATTTGTGACAATCGAATAGTCAAATTCTACGTAACTTTGAAGGCATGAAATTTGACATCAAAATTGACATCCCATAAAGCAAAGGATCAATAGATCTTGAAGAGATGATTCAAGACCCTCATCATATTGAAGTGTTTGATGTCTGAATATTCTGCTGTACAAAGACAAATTTTGGTTTTTGGCGGAACCCTTAAAATTTATATTGAAGGGGAGGACCGAATCTCTGACTGATCATCAGATCTTTGCAGCTCGGATTGACCCTATTAATTATCTAATGATATTTTCACTTACTGTATGTGTTGGCTTGTTTTGGTAACATTTAAATGAAAAATAACAGCTAATACCTGACTATTCAACTTGATCTTTTTACTGTTCAACTTGGTTAAGCTTGAAAGTATAAGATTTCCATGAAGATTATGCACTAGTACCAACATATCTACCTTGCAAATGCCAACAAAAAAGAGTACAATTATAATTGATTTTAGTACTGCTGAAGCTGAATAGTACTGTATGATCTTTTGACCTTCCTCTCACTTAAACATATCTCATAGTGATCCTGAACTAATTAAACTTTGCAATTAATAATTTATAGTCTGGATATAAGTACTCTAGATTGTTCTCTACTCTGATCATATACTACAAACGATATCTAAACTGCTCTAATTAATTTACGAGATGATGAGAGAATCGAACTCAAGTGCAAGAGGTGTGATATGCACACACTGCCGTGGCCAAACTAGCTTATTCCACGTATGCAGGAAGAGTAATGTTAATGACACCTTATTTAATGACTTCGTTGCATGCATGCCAGTAGAGATATATCATACACAAAAATCAAAAACCCAAATTCATGTTTAATATTTCATATTTGATGAAGCTTCATTTAATATGCATCAACGTACGATCTTAAGGCCTGCTAACCTCTACAGATTCAGTTTAATTAACTCGTGAAACAATATTCAAAGTTTTGAAAACCGAAAACGCTGTCTTCCTTTGAATAGTTTATTCATTAGATTATTTTGAGTTTTGTGTTCTTCCAAGTCCTGTCTGTACCACGAGAAATATTTTATGCAGGTAGTCTGAACCCTAGCTTTGACTTGGGTTTGAACTCTCTCTATAAAGCCCACATTAGTCTCTCCAACTTTCCTCTCTTTTTGTTGTCAATCTAAAGATCACTACACTTTCTCTAGCTAGAAATTAAGAAGGAAACTACACGAAGATGCTACAGCTTACAAGCTTCATACTAGGGCTTCTTTTGGTTATGCATGCACTAGGGCACTTTACTACTGCTGCACATGCTCATCAAGGTAGATATACTAGTAGAAATATATAGCCTTCTCTCATATTATAGCTAGGGCTAGGGATTTCTCATAAAATTTTGGGAGGATTTTCTAATGATTAAAATCTTGTTTTTTTTAGGTAAAGAAGAGCTTTCTATGACTGGGAAACCTGTAATACTCTCTGGTCATAAGGTAGAGTACTTCTTATTCCATGATTTGTTTGTGCTATTATTGAAGTTTAGTCCTCACAGGAAGCTTCTTGCACTCGTCAAGTAACACTGCACTATAATCGCGTTGTTATTTGCACTTCTACACAACAGTGCAAGAAGCTTTTCGAGGAGTGTGAATAGCGTTTTTCTTTGTTTTATATATGATTAAGTATAATTTTTGATATATAAGCTAATTACCGTATAAGTATGCAGGAACCAAATACGGATGGGGTTTCAATAGCTGGGTCAAGGATGATAGGGCTTGGAGGAAGAAAAATGGCGGAACACAAAGTGTTGAGGAAATTAGAGCCTGCAAGACTAGCTAGCCAGCTGAATGGAGAGACTACTTCATCAAAGAATTCAGGTGCAACCCGTAGTTCTGAGGGAAATTGTGACTTTGAAGGAAAGGGAGATCTAAATGTAAAATGTAAACACGGAGATTATAAAAGTAAAACTAGCCCTTCTAGTGCTAAGAAGTACTTCAAAGCAGCTCATGATTTTGTAGCTTTTGGTGCTGATTATCACGGGCCTGCACATCATCCTCCAAAACACAATTGAGAAAATCATTGAAACCCAAGTTCGATCTTAGATCAGTCTTCACGGTCTTCTTGTTGCCAGATGCTCTAGTGAAAACATATGTGTGTGATAGATATATATCATGTAGTAGCTAGCTAGTGTAGTTGTATGTATTAGTATTCAGAAAAAGATATATACATATATGTTGGAAGGGATTTCTCGCTATGACGCTTAATGGATGCAAATATTGCTTTTGTGTTCTTGGAACCAAATTTTGACATGTTGATTTTGATGAGGAAGAAGGTTAATAATAATAATGGTTCATGTTAGACATTTCTTGTCTGATTGCAGGAAACAGTAAAGCTTCAAGTAACTCCCATGGAAAACCTCAAAACATACTGAACCAACAGGTCTCCTCTCTCTCTCACACACACACACACACACACACACAAACTTTCATAAATCAAATTTTGATATGCATGTAGTAGCTAGTACACTTAAACAAAGAGGATTTTCTTTACCATCAGAAATGCCCCACCTTTTGCCTTTTAATTTGGTGCTAATTTGGTTATGTTCATACACATTTTCCAGGCCGATATCAAGATATTGGAGCCAACAACACTGAAGGCTGCTGCCAATAGTTTTGGAATTCCCAGAGTTCTTAAGCCAAAGCACTCTCAAGATTCCAAGACAAAGCAGCCAATTATCAGAGCTCATCAAAAGACTATTAATTATGATGATACTGATGATCATCATAAGTTGACAGATGAAGCAAGAAGGCTTCTTAAGGCAACAAGAGAGATAGTAAACTTGATGCATAAAGATTATCATGGAATGGGTCGCCGCAAGCCGCCCATAAACAATCATGAGCCACAGCATTGAGATTGAGTCTGTCTAAAACTGGTTTAGCTATATATCTAGGCTCACAATTTTGCCCCCTTCCCCCCACTAGGAATATTTAGTGATCAGTCCCTTATAGCTAGCCTATACAGAATATGGTGTGTGCTTGTTTAATTTATTTGTTTTCTTTTTTTTATCAAGCATAGGAACTTTAACAAGTAGTGAACTGCTGTGTACATTAAGTTTGCCTTCATACACCTAGCCTCTGTGAAGTAATGATATATATATATATATATATATATCATAATTTTGGGCCCTCTTCCTCCTTTATATAATCTAATTTATTGTTTTTTCCTTATGCAAAACATGGTAAAAGGTAAAACATATCTTTATCTCAGCCTTAAAATTGTACCAAATGAATTTGGCAATCGTGTGTTTGGATCAACTTCAGTTGCTCCTCCTAAAATATTAATGATGGTCTCATGCTTGTGGGCTCTGGATCTTCAATATTTATTTATCAATTCACTGGCGAGTTTAAACATTTAGTTTATAAGCTCTGCTGCAGGAGAGTACAATATTATTATTTCCATGATTTCCATTAACCAAGAGCCTTGACAGAGCTAGCTTGATAGGTAATCAATCTTAATCAGTACAAATTAATATGACAACTAAAAAAGGACAAACTAATCCCATTTTTTAAATTGACCTTGCTGATGGGCTGATGCATAATGGATTATGTTATACAATTACATTTCTACAAGTTTCTTGATGTTTAAAGGGGTGCAAACAGTTGAACCATTGAAGCAGCCTGTAGCTATAACTGAGGATACAGATTCAGTAAGGTGGAAAGCATCCCAGAAGAAGTAATTGTTTGGTTCTAAGCATGGTGCAAGCAATGGAATGCACTCTGAAGTCCCATCTGCCCAAGTAGTGCAGCATGGATTGCTTCCATCCATTAGCCCTGCTCGATTGATCCGTATCTCATTAACATCGAATTGATTAACAACGAGAAAAATCAGAGAAAGAATGAGACAACTTGGTTTTTGAAGTTTACCATATTTAACAGGACTTGTGATTGCATCATAGCCGATCCAATTAGCTCGACCAAGAACAAAGAAAGAACCTTGGAAAGTGATTGTCAAATTTGCCAGCGTCACGTGAAGTTTTTCATTAAAAATTGTGGCTAGCTCGTTTGTATCTTCCACACAGTTTCCACTGTGGTTATGTGTCTTTGCAATTGACGGAATGCATCCAAGGGGACCAATTTCAAACATGACTATTTTCCTGGCTCCCAAATTGAACATCCTCTGCACTTTTGCAATAAGAACAACAAGCTTATCATCCATTTTAACATTGAATGAGCAGAGAAGGAAGGGATGAGAGTTTGGTTACCCCCAAATGGTTAGCAAGCGCATCCATTAAGAGTTGTGCAAATTGTTGAGGAGAGTAGCGTTGACTTGTATCGAACGCTTTGGTGTAAAGGTAGTTATTGATGAAATCATTGCTACCAATGGAAAACAGAAATATAGACTTGGATAGGTAGTGCAGAAGATCATGGGGATTTTGGAACTGTCCTGGCAAGTCTGACTTCACCGTTCTTTGAAACAAATCTATCTGGTCTTTTAGATTCAAGCATTTCCCCTGTAAAAGAACACCAAATAGAAAAAGAAAGAAACTCATACTATAAAACTATATATAGCTACCCTACTATAGAAAATTCATGCATGGTGGGTGCATGAACAATAAAGATTGGCAGGATTGAATATCTAGAACTGGTTCTTCACAGACTCATGAGTCATGACTATCTTACAAATTGGCTTCCGGTTTCAGGTAGAATGCCACAAGAACCAGATGCATAATTCAGGCCTTTAAGTGCTGTGTTTGATCCACGTATGCTCATGTATGGTGGAGGATATGGTAGCTCAAGAAATTCAGCTTAACAAAAAAGACAACACACACAGAAACCATAGGTACAAAGTTAGAGTCAATAATATTCATGAACTGAAACCAAACCAAAGTTACAAGTACTAGTTTTGGGCAATAATAATATCACCTATAAAATCTGCCACTGTTCTGCCATTGGTAAATCTTCCAGTGACTCCCTTGACAAAATTCACCCCATAAGGCAAGTAATCTGCCTTACAAACAGTTGGTAAAAAATTATTGTTACCACTGTCAAACAAAGAATCCCCAAACACATACAATGCTGGTGCAATTGGCAAACCATGAATCTGCAGTGAATGAAACTGCAAGGAAATTGTGAACGAGAAAATAAGTGACATTGGTTTCATTCTCATGTTCTGCAACATTGCTTTGATGCAAATGCTGAATTTGCTGCTAGTGCTGTGTGTGTGTGTGTGTGTGTGTGTGTATAAATATATACAATTTGTTGGGAGGAAAATGCTGATTGTCCAGTCACATGGAAGATCAATTGGTGTGAGCTTTTAATGAGGTGGAAAATTTCGGTTGAGCTTATAGTGAGGTGGGGATTTCGGTTTGGGGAACATGTATAGGTAACTGATATGAGATGAGTTGTCTCAACTCTTTTGGAAAGTGATTGAATCAAGGCAGTGGCCTAATTGTACAACCCTTTTTTCTTTTTTTTCTTTTTTTTTCCTGGGGTTGAAAGTTGCTTTATGAATTTAAGGAGTCCAACTTCACATTTCATGTGACCACAGCAGCTCCAAAGCTAACTAATGCTACAAATTTTGGTTTTGGGGTCATGGATTGCGCCTACTTATCTGTGCTGATCATTAGTTTTGATATATGGTGCAATAATTGGGCAATATTTACACGAGAATGAAACTGAGGTAATGAGCATGAAAAATGGTGATCATTATCTGATTAGAAACCACTTGATTGGGTTTCCAGGTGAAAGTTTAGACTACATCCATCTTTATGATTGAGCTTCCAACCATGAAAGCCCCATTTTTTGAAGCGTGCCTTGCTGGGCTACTAGCATGGGCCCAAAACACACACATTGGGGCATTGAAGCTATAAAATAGATCATAAATCATTTGTGAATAAAAAATGGTCCCAGTAGGGTTTGTAGCTTGGAATCATTCTATAATGAGGGTCTTAAGATGAAGCCCTATCTTTTAACCGTGTAGGTATCGTCTAATCAATCATCTTTTCAGCTCTACCTAACCTTGCCAAGGATATTAGTCTACGTTGCTCTAACCAATCCTCCTCAATAGTTGAATGTTTGTTTGGGACAATATATATGCCAAGTCATGATACTCTTCTTAATTCGAGTTCAAGTGGATGATGACAATATATAAATTATATAAAATATGTAAGAGAATAGAAAAACAACTCAAAAATCACATTATTTTCTTTAGCAGTATTTCTCTTTGTATTTACAATTAGTTTCATCTCTCTTCTTATCTTCGTTTTGGTTCAAACAGATTACAGATTTGGGGAAGAAAGAACAAGAAGAAATGATGGATTTGTTGGATAAGAGAGAAAGAAAGAAAAAAAAAAAGGAATGAATTATTGAAGTTAGGGGACCGCACCGAATGTTTGTTCCCATGAACCCACTTAGACCATGTCAACCCACCCCAAAAAATATCGTTTTGAAGATTGAGCACATTTGGTTGACCCAACAAAAATTATGACATTAACCCACTTGCTAATCTAAGTTGAAGCGGCCAAGGATGGGGGCTCACACATGCAAGCATGTAAGACATTTTTCTTCATTATCATTGACACTATTTCCATTATTATTATTTTTAAAAACGCAATTAAAGTATGTATGTCAGTGTATCGATATTTCAAACTAATCACACATTATCGTATATTTTCATATATTTTAACTTTCTTACATTGCAGTTCGTTATTGACTTAAAATTTATTGGCATTTTAACTTTCCACCAAGACCATGGAATTTATTGTGTGGACCATGAGCTCAAAGCGACAAATTGACCCAACCAAACAAAAAGAAAGCATAAGAATTAAAGGCGTCCAACATCTACATTAACGAGGCATTGGTGTTTGGTACGGCTGACTAAGACCCATATGTAGTTTACAACTTTACCGGCTTTTGCTTTGCACTATGTGATATAATTCAATTTAATTTTGTTAGGCCTAGCATTAAATTATTATCTTTCCCTTTAAGGCCTCAACAGAAAAGAACACTTAACCACTTAACGTTAAGCCCATAAAAAAAACCGCGTTTTCTTTTTATTCCATCAACTCCCTGTCCAACTCACCCACCTGTGTTTTTCCTTCAGTTTCTTCCACTGGCTGTTTACAGTTTCTTTTCTTCAACTGGGTCTCTGTAACAACAATCAGCAGAAGAGTCAACGAAACTGATCCCATCAACTTCTCTTTGGGTTTTCAGCTGGTAAGGTATGTGTGCTCTTCATCAATTCATGGGTCTTTCTTGATTTTGAGAATTTCTGCTTATTTGTGTCTTTTGGTTGGTTCTGATGCCTGGGCTCATGTGTTCTGGTTTTGATCATAGAGCATGGTATATAAGGTTGTGGGAATTTGGAAGGTTGATAGTTAATTTCAATATATCTATGTTGAATTATTGCTTTTTATTTTTTATTTTTTATATTTTTATGCAAATAAGAGTCTACCATTTATGCCAACTTCTGCGTCAAGTCTTGGTTGGCAGTACGCATGCAAAGAAAGAAAGCATCTTAACATGTAGTAATAAATTTAGTAGAAAAAAAAAAAGGTTCTTTTGCAGTTTTTGAGTTTCTTTACTTATGCCCAGTTGATAGTATGCTTATCCTATGGCTCTATGTTTAGTGAAGCAAGCAAGACACAATTTTTATGGATAAAAATGGTGGATTTATTATGTCTACTAAAAAAAGTTACACAATTTATATCTGGAAAGTGAACCGAGTTCGTTGTGAATAAGGCAATGTGAGGAAGTAACAGATCGTACATTTATTTCAGAAAGATATGTAGCATTCTAACTATTGTGGTTTTCATATTGTTAATCAAATATTATCATGTTTCCATTATCAATAACCCAATTGGATTTTGAATTTCACTTGTCATGCCAATCCATCATTTCTGGAACAAGTTTACATAATGTGTTTTGCCCATCTTATGACAGATAACCTGCGGCGATTTTGCCCTGCAAGATGTTCTCATTGCCTGAATTTCATAAGAGACCAAAGAAT